TATATCTTAAAATACAGAAACCTGCAGCTGCAATGTAGAAATTCCCCCAAATGTCAATGACAGATCAGTACTTACTGTTAGCTTCTATTTCTTTTGACTGTTTTGGACTATTTATGATTGTTTTCAGTTTATTTCTGCAATTTGACAGCAACTAATCTGCTGACTAGATTTAAACGCAAACTGACCTGCAGCTGGTTTACAGGAGAATTCTTGTCAGATGAAGGTTGAACCCTGAACACAGATCACCTGGTTGACATTTTAATATTCTATTCTGTCATTATTTAAACTATCAGAGACAAACCGACATGTCTGTGTCTGAGAATACTTTCATAAATCAGTGTGTTTCTGTCGACTGACTCGTGTTAAAATAAGAAACTATATGAATATTTGTATTGTGGAAAAATGCACAGAATCGTTGCAAAACTATTCAGATGAAGTACCATCTCGTAAAAGTGTGACTTACCCAGAACAAGTGTGAGTAGAAGTACAATGTAGTTCTACTAAACGTGTCACTGAATGACTGAATGACTGAACTCACCATCCACATCATCAAGAAAATATGTGACGGTGCTAACCACTGTCCTCAAGAAAAAATAAAAAATAAAATAAAATAAATGATACATACATTATGTGCACACACACACGCGCACACACACACACACACATATATACATACATATATATATATATATATATATGTATGGTGTCTGTACTGAACCTTGGGCGTCATTTCCAGTGCTGTGATTTCCTCATTCAACATGTTGAGGAAGTAAATCCACCGTGTGTTACATTCACACAGAAACTTCTCATATTAAACACGAGAACAGCGACAAAGAAACGTGGATAAAGAGCATTCACTGTCTGGTGTACAAATACATGAACACAATGCTCTCCTCTTTTTTATTGACAATGTTGTTCTTAATTTGCTCTGAGGAACGTCAGTCTGTCCTGCTCTGGTGCTGATGATGGGCTACAGCTGCTGGACTGGTCCTGCTTTGGATGCCTGTCCTCAGAACCGTCCCCCTGAACCTGTCTGGTTCACTGGTCTGACCCTCACATGGCTTCTTCTTAACTCTATTCAGGACTTTTGGGGTTTTTTGGACCCCGAGCCATTTGGTTTAGGTGACAGGTGTTGTTTTTGGATTTTTAAATATAAAAAGAGGGGCATTTGTGCATTTGGAACCAAAAATACATCAACTTATCAGAAAATTTATTTAACATCTTATAAAAGTCTAAAATGAATACCAACAATTATTTTGCACATATTCTTTCTTGGGGTCCAATGGACCCCCAAAGACCTTCTTTGTATGGAAACATGAAAGTCCTGAACAGGGTTCAGATAACCAACCATGCAGGCTGCTCTACTTTCTGACATTTCTGAGCCCTGCTGCTGCTGGAACAGAAACTAAATGACACCATTCAGCTGGAACTCAAACTTGGGATCGGGAATGCCCTGGCTGCTCCCAAAACATCTCTGTGTAAAGTGTCTTCATTTAATATTAGCAGATTTCCCTTGTTTCAAAAAAAAAGAAAGAAAGAAGACAAAAACACACCGTAGCAAGATTTCGTGTCACATAATCATTACTGCAGGAACCCCTTGATGGTTATTTACCATCTAGTCGGCACGTTTCATCAGCGTCTCTACCGCATAACATCAACTTTTTGTCATCAAAATGTTAAATGATGAACTAAAGACAATGAGTAAATGTACGAGTTAAGACAAAACACATCAGTAACTCGTTTGTGTTCAATTTACCGCACGTTTGAATTTGACACCGTCTTAGTGTCCGTCAGTGCAGAGTGGATGTGAGAGGAGAGGTGTGCTTGTTTTACGTTCCAGCCGCTCCCGTCACAAACACAAGTCAGTTTCCCCTCACCCCGCCCTCATCAAGCTGTGCTGCAACCACCAGCGAGCGCTCCTCTGAGGGAAACAAACTACTCAATGACAAGACGTTATTTCACCGGAGAGACAGACAACCAAGCACGTTCACACCTACGGACAATTTAGAATCACCAATTAACCTCAACATGTTTTTGGACTGTGTAGGAGGAAGCCGGAAAATGTTTCATGCGTGTCTGTACTGGAGTCATTTTTGGTCGCACAGCGGTCTGAGCACCGCGGCCACCAGCAGCAGCTACCACTGCCTGCAGTGTGGGGCGTTCAGGGAACATCGTAAATTGTAGTCTATCGATAAGAAAATATTCAGCAAGTCGTATGTTTTGCCTGTTACAATGTGAGAAGTGCGAATAAATGAGAAAGTCGGTCACACAGGTCAGAGTCCTGTGTAGCATGAGCGTTGTTCGGTAAACGGCTACCTATGCAGTGACGTATGGCGTGGATCTAACTTGGCTCCTGGCTGATGGAAAAGCAACCGGTTCTTATATTGCAGGGATGCAACCGGATTAGTTCCAATAGGCACCGGCCCTAGCACCAGGTGAATAAGGGGCAAAGGAGGAGCCTATGGCCGCCTGGTGCTGTGACTTCCTCATTTAACACTGAGGAATAAATCCGCCATGTTTTGTATACGCACAGAAGCTTCTCATATTAAACACGAGAACTAACATCAGTAAAGAAACTTCAATAATGAACATTTACTGTCTGGTGTTAAATTTTGCTTTAAATCGGTTCAAACTCCGTCAGATTTCACTGTTTCACCCTGAAAACACGTTTCACTGCTGTAATGAGGATAAACTGTCGAGCTGACACCGCCATGTTCTGTCAGACTTTATGATGTCACCCTGCAGGAGCGAGTCTACGGAAATAAACTCTATCATTTAAAAATATTCACCTTTACCTTCACAGTAGATCAATCCAACCACCGTCAGGAACCACAGCAGATCGATCGTTTTCATCATTTCTGTCTGATCATTTGGTCACTTCTTCACCTGATAAACATTCGTTTTTTAGTTTCGTTTTCGTGCCTCACTGTCTGCACATGAGGCGGAGCTACAGAACTCACACCAGACAGGAAACACCCAGAAACGCACTAAACACACTCAGCATGTTCTCCAAATAAGATCAGAGTTTGTTGCAGTGGTTTTAATTACAGCAGAGCAGCTTTTATAAAACGCTGCAGATCAGCATCAGATCAGTTTGTGTGTAAATCTAGTGAGCACAAACTACACAAACAGAGAAAACACTGAAAATAAAAAGCAAAGGCAAAAACAACAGCTTATTCAGGCGTAACAGGGAGCCGGCAATGCCCCCTGAAATCAAACTTTTAGAGAAAGACTATAACAGATTACCCACAAACTGAATATGGACAAGATTGACTCCAGTGGCTGAAACATCCAGTGGAGAAGACAGGAATGAGACGACAGGTTCAGCTCTTCTTCACTCTTTCTGTTTGTGTGCAGCAGGTTCTCACCACAGACTGTATCAGAAACAGCATATGTGGTGTATAAGTGTATTTCTTACAGTCTATGGTTCACAGCTCCTCCCAGCTCAACATCGTGTCACTGCCAGTATACAGGGCGGGTGTCAGTAGGTGGAGCAGAGCAAAATGAGCTGCGACAGAGCGAGACTTTGAGGAAGCAGCAAAGTCTGTCATCAACATCTTAACGACTCGTGACATAATGAACAACAACTAAAAACCCACATTTATCAGCTGGGGACTAGTCCATTGTTCTTCTCACAGTTTCAGTGTGTTAGAGAAGTGTTTCTCCCTCGATCCCAGCAGCTCTGTCTGCTGCATAGAGCCGACTGGAGGACTTAAAAGCCCAGCCCCAGGCTTCAACTCTGAGTCATACAGTCCATTATCTGTACACCACTTAATCCTCACTGGGGTCACTTAGGGCAGCTATGTCCCTCTGCTGAGGCCTCTCAGGTTTATTTATTTATTCTATTTTTCGGTCTTATTTTTGAAGACTTGGTGAATTGATTTTTGTTTTTATGACTTTTCCTACCCTTTTTAGTTTTGTTATTATTGGCAATAGTGAGAAGTGTTATTGTTGGCCAATTAAGGCAAATGTTTTTAGTTGCTATAATCTCAGGAGGAACATTTTATTTTATTTTTTGTGGTTTTGTTTGTGCTGCAAGGTGACTCGGTGGTTAGCACTGTTGCCTCGCAGCTAGAAGTTCGCTGGTTCGCGTCCTGGTGAGGACACCTGGGATCTTTCCACGTGGGTTCTCTCCGGGTTCTCCGGCT